CACTATTTGCTTATCATTTGCAATAGTTCATTTGGTACCACTCAGCAAAAGCCTTGGAAAAAAATCTTCAAGTCTTCAGTCTACCAGTCAAGTTCATAACTAAGCCCAGAGGCCTATGAGTTGTTAAAAAAAAACAAACAACAAGGTGGAATAGTCATTGCTTCTGATACCTATGCCTCTAGAAAAGATGGTGCTTCAGCAAGTACTTGTGAAGAATTTTATGAGTGATCTCACCATTACTTCACCTAGATGGAGGTGATAAGATTATCAGTGCAGTGGATTGTCACATCAATCAGAGCAGACTGGATATCATTTAAGGATTGATTTCAATTAAAAGAGCTATTAATTATCCCAGTTCAAACAAGTTGATGGAAATAAAGTGTGCTCATTTTGAAATACATAAAATATCTCTGATAACATGAATCTTTATTTAGCCCTCACGTTAACAAACAAAGAAGTCCAGCAATGAAAAACACAGCAGGTTTAATATTATCTCTTCACTTTTGTTAGAAGTGATTATCTGTTACTATAAAAGCTAAGTAGTAAGAAGAAAAAAATATTTTTACCTTTGGTCCATAACAAAAGGGTAAAATATCTGAATTCAAAAGCATGCCTTTCAACTCATGAGCCAATCTCACAAGCACATGAGGTATGGGGTAGTTATGAACACAGACATAACTGACTTTCCTTTCATGAGACCAACAACCCAAAACAGAGCAAGACTGTTGCAAGTATTCTGCTGGGCATATTAAATAGGACTGCCAGTTTCAACAGCCTAAGGTGACATGTATTTCAAAAAATGACACATCCTTAACATGCCAAGAAAACAACAAAACAGAACTAAAATTACCCTGGCCAGCAGTCTACTTTGATGAATCATTTTCCCTTGCCAGAAAGAACTACTGAAAATTTTACTTTACTTTTGTGCATGAATTTTTATCTCTGAGTGCACCAACAAACATATAAGGGATTCCCCATAACAGATAATGATAACAGCTGTGCCGAAGGTCAGCTTCTACCTATTAGAAGTGAATGAAAGAACTGTGAAAAAGCAACTGGGTGATGCCAACTGGAGATTTGAACACAGAAGACACCACAGTTCATACGACTAGATTTTACAGTCTCAATTTAAACATGCACAAAATGGCCCAAGAATTAAAAATGACTGTGCATTCTCTTGTGCATTTTAATCACAAACAGAAGTACAAGTAAAAACTATAAAAAAGTTGGAAAGGTTAGTTAATGTTAATTGATTACTATTAATTGCAATTAGTTACTTAATATAAATTAATTTAAAGGTTAGTTAATATAAACTAATGAAAGCTGATTGCCATATATTTAGAATATCAAGTGTTCCCTGATTTCAGAATGAATTTAAGACTATACTTAATTTAGAGCATTAGAATAGACCTATAATTAACTGAACGGCGGCCAATCATGAATCCTCTGTAATTACTGCTTGAAACACTGCCCGATTTCTATTGAAAAGAAGTATTTTTTATCTGGATCAATGCTTGAAGGCTATAAAAGTTGTCACCTTTGACTTTTTTTTTTTTTTTTTAAATACTTCTGTAAAATACATACTGATAGGCTTTTCTATAGCATTTATCAGCGCTACATCGATGACGTTCCAAAATAATTAATGAGCATATATTGGTTCAATATATTAATAATTTGTTTGGAGCAGACACAACTAAAACTGCACCAGGGAAGCAGTTATCTTCATCATATTTCTGCTCTCTGGACAACAAAGTTGTGGGCAACGCAATGGCAGAAGGCAACCTTAGTAAGTGATAAGGAAGAGACTGAAGGGGAAAGAAAAGCCTTATTCTAATGAAAATGAATGTGCTCTTTTCCCAGAACGACCTTCCAATGAGACTATGTCCTATTTGTTGGATAACCCCTTACAACCTCAGAAAGAAATGTTTCTGTAGCTTCTCCAGCAACAACGCTTCCGTTGCATACGTACCTTAAGGACTATTTAGCATGTAGGAAATAAAACAAAAAACAACCAGCAACAGATCAATGTACATTTTTTTAAATGATCCAAGTTAAACACTTGTAAGAATCTGTACCTATTTGAAAGAAGACCCCTGGGAGAATGTCCGAGGAAAAGCGTATGCCTCGTGTGTTACCAAAGGCACAAAAATGAGTCAGACTTAAGGCTTGTTGTTATACTAGTATTTGAAAATACCTAGCAGATGGTTTACTAGAACTTTCTGCAACAAAGAAAAGGTAGGAATCACTCTCACAAAACAAAATAGCACTCAGAAGATTCATAGATCGTAAGTGCTGATACATTGTTTTTCCTCTTCCAAATCGGTGGCATTGATCATCTGTGCTTGATCCACTGATCCATCCCTTGAGACCTGTGCTGGATCACAGTTAAGTAGAAGTGGACAAAGAGGAAGTAAGAGACTGCAGTAATGTCTTCAGAAATGTTAACATTTACTAACAGAACGTTAGGACAAAACTAATAACCACTCCAAAACGTTCGCTGTCTACTCAGTTCTATTTCCCTCTTCTCAAATGCTGATCGAAACCTTTCTTCTGAGTTACACTTCCCTATTTTTATTCAGCAGCACAGTACCACTGTACCTCACTCTCAGTTGCTGAATATAGCAGTCCCAGCTCATAAACCTAATCAAACACATATTCCAACTCTTCTCTCCTAATATAAACCAATGTTTATGACTCAACTCCTGGTGGTGCTTTGTAACCACCAGACTTTCTCCTCTCCAATACATACAGGATACAATCTCTCCACAACGTCAATGAGAGTTTGGTCATCAACTTTCATGGGATCAGGAATTGACCCATAATGTTTTATAAAACAACAAAAAGGAATGTATTTATGGTTTTATTATTATCCCTACTAAGGAAATAATGAGAAAGGAAGGATTGTACATGGTCTAGTCTATATGCACATATGTTACTTGTATTAATATGAATGGGATTTAAAAGTACATATGGAGAGGATAAGATATATCCCTATGTGTTCAGCCATATGCTTAAGGAAGCTCCCCAAATGCTTGTAAATACGATTATGCTTGCTAACATACTATGTATTTATTTGAACAACGTTAAATCTCTAAGCCCTACTTTCCAGCCCATTAAAGCCTCAAATAATTGTTTATTTCCAGTTTAAAGTTACTGTCTTTTAGCCATTAGAAGGCTGTCTGTAATCACATTTCCATGATATTTGGGGAATTAGAGAATTGATAATAGCTCTCCCATTATCCGAAGGGGCATCTCTGGGAAGAGAAATGCTCAAGATGAAGTATATTTTAGTGAGGAATTCTTCCAAAAGATTTTGGGACAGGCCCAAAACATGTTAACTGAAAGGTCTGGAATGCTACTTACACAACAAACATGTGTTCGTGTTGTAGACCTCAGACAACTGTGTTCCTTCTGGAGGCCAAAGCCATGTTTCTGGATAGACTTGCTCTCATTTTCTTTTTGTTTTTGAAGTTTTGGAAACAGGACAAGGGCCTGACCCATTATGCACAGGAGACTTATTCCAAATTTCCCATATAAAAGAAGACATCAGAATTCATCCCACAGTTTATGATTTGGTGCAAGCTGCCTTTAAATGAGACAGCCAAATTATTTATGGAATATCTTATGCATTTAGTAAATCATATTGACATAATTGCAACTAATCATTTTATTTCGCTCATCCGTTTCTTCCTTTCAGCTGAGCCTTGGTAAATGTTTTTGTGAACACTTTGTTATAGCTTTATCAATAGAAAGATGATTGGGATGGTTTATTAGATTACTACTTCAACTAATGTTGAAGTCACAAATATAAAGCAATTTGCATGGAGGCAGAATGAGCATATTTGTCATTCTCTTAGTACACGTGGCACGATATGTACCATCTTACATATAAATGCAGCACAGAATCAAAAGGCAACTTCATAGCCAGCTGCCAAAAATCTCCTTTTAGCTTACTTAGCACAACTCCTTTCGTGTTTACTTTTTTTATATCACCCAGAGCAAAAGTGTATATTGTGGCATCATCATTTCATTTCCTTGTTTTGTTGTTGTTGGGTTTTTTGACCGCAAACAAGATTTGGGAGCTCAACATTTACTTTATCTTTCAAATCCCAAATTACAATAAAACCCCAGATCAGGTTTTCTTTTTGTCCTACTGAAATACTTCATACTTTGTAAAACAGAAAAACAAAACTGTCGTCATTTTTTTTAAGCTACATCAATGAATGGTGAAGCCAGATCCGGTTTCCCAGCGAGGCATTATTAAAAGACAGAAATAGACCAATGACCACAGGAAATCTTTAAGCACCAAAATGGGGACAAAAGCCTCCTGGGGAAAAAAACAATATTTCCTACACGGTCATTCATGTCTCCTTGTCATACAATACAGGGGTATTGTTTGTTTGTCTGCTTAAGTAGATGCACAGAATAAAATTAGAAACAACTCCTGACTACGAAAACACTTAAAAGGCTGGATGCAGGCACACATGGCAGAACTGAGATCACAACTACGTTGCGATGCTTCTTTTTTAGGTATAACCAGATCATTTTGATCATTAATATCGCTTTTGATCATTAGTATCAACATCATTCTTCCCACATTATATATAATAAAGGCCACCAACCCCCTCCACCAATCCATCCAATCTGTGACTTCAGGTCAGTTTGCATATTGCTGTAGTCTTAATATTGGTCATACAAATTGTGAAAACAGTAGAAGAAATGCTCCAAAATAGAACCAGGTTATTGTTGGTCCCTTCCCCCATGAAATTCAGTAAAGGAATGTAAACCCAAAGATTTATTTTTCTGTTCAGGTCATGCCTGGGGTAGACTTACGCTACTAAACTCCCTAGTCTGAAATCAAGAACAACACAAAGTTAGCAAGTCTTCATAGGCAAAAAAATCCTGTAAGTCCTCTGTGGCTCACGAAGTGAAGTTACAGCAATAAGAGTTATCCTCCCCACAAAGATGATTCAGAACAAGGCATCTGGCCCACAGCTTACCTCAACGTAGTCCCTGGCATGGCCCCAGTCTCTCTTAGCATCCAGATTGCCCAGGCTGAAAGAATCCATCTGTCCGAGGTGAATCTTTGCCACTGATCGGCTAATTTTTCGAGTAACAAAATTAGCTCCTGGAATAGAAATAAAAGGGAGCATCAGCATCACATAGTCACAGTGGCAGATTGGCTACTGTGAAACACCTAGCAGCTCTGCTCATTTCATTCTCCTTCATTCTTCATTCATTCCTCCCATACCACCTAGTCCCATGCCATCATTTATTGTTTGAGCAGGCTGAGAAGCTTCCAGTGCAAGTGTCACATTAGCTTCACTTTCACAGCAAACATCTTTCTTTGTGGGACTTCTAAGCATTCCTAATTTGCTGCCTCAGTGTTCAGTCCAGGCATAAAGCCAAAGAAAATCATCTGGAATGTCAGTACTTAAACACAAAATGCAAAAGGTTACATAAAGAAGACAGACATCTTAGGCCACCCTTGGGTTTTTTTGTTGCCATTTAATTTCTTCCGTTTTATCTTTTAAAGGCATCTAAACATATTAGCTTATTAATTTTTTCAAAAAGCATATTAAAAAACAGTGAAGGTTAAACATACTCTGTATTTCTAATAATTTGGGATTCTCTCTTCCTGATTTTCATTGACATTATAAAACTGTGATTTTACCTTTTTCAACTGAAGGTTGTACATTATATTTTATCAGACTTCAGTATTTTGTTCGCTATATTTCATCGGAAAAATGTGCCCATTTATGCTCATGACTGAAACTGATTTGTTTTAAAAAATACTTGCTTTTAATTAAATTTGTATTCTCATTTTTAGATTATAACTGCTGTTGTTCTAGAATTCAGTCAGCAGTTTCCTGAAAAGCAGAGAAACTTAAATGTAGATGATGAATATAGGCTAAACAAGGCCAATGGCATCTGAATACTAATGGGCCACAAAAATTAAAATTACATGCCTTTTTAATAGCTAAAAAAATATGATTGAGTGATGACAGATGATACCACATCCAACTGGAGAGCAGGAAAGTTAGGGAAACTTGTAAAATGCTCGTAACAAATTTTAAAAGCATAAAGTAGTGTAGCTTGTACATTTAAGGCACGTATGGTAGTTTTTTCATTACAGAACATTTGAAATGTGCATTTGAATATTTTCTATTTATTGTCAAACAACTGTTAGGCTGCTGCAGAATTACTACATAATGAGAATTGTTGCTTTCATGTCTACAGCATTACAGTTCCTTTTGTATCACTTCATTGTCAAACAAATTTTAAAAAAAGTGCACTTTTAAGCACAATATTAAACGACACAGGTAAATAATTCAGAGCTTATCATAGGGTTAATACAGAATTTTAATTTTGTCAGTTGTCAAGACTGTCAATTCAATCACTGTCATCAGATACTTAGAATATATCACAGTTTTGTGCTTGTTTTTTGAAGGATTAAAATAATATAATTTCCACATTCCTTGGAAAAAAAAAAAAGCACTTATATAAAAAGAAATTTTACAAAATAAGAGTGATTTGCAAAAGTTCACTAATAAAAATATACTTGGGAGTCTTTATTAAATCAACGTTTCTCAAAAATTGGCCAAATTGGCAAGATAAAAGCCTAGGCCATTCTTCTCAGCAGGACAAACACAATTACGCCAAAGACAAACCAATGCAAACCACAGGACCAGCACTACAATTCTGCTATTTCAATTTCTGAAAGCAAAGCGCGTTTCCTCAGTTCCTGGTTCGACAGGCTTGCGGTGGGAGTGGAATTCTGGGTGAGAGAATCTCTCCGGTTAGCCTGACTGGCACTTCTCTAATGATTTTATTTTATTTTATTTTATTTTAAGTTGTCAGAGTAATCTTTATACAGATTATTACTAATTTATATAACACAGATTCAATCCATCACATAAACATATTCAGGAGAGCTCTGAAATTCTAAACCTTCTGCAATGACATAATTTCAGTTTTTATTATTATTCTGTGAATAACAATTGGAAGAGAGATTTTTCAATGGGTGAAGTACATGGTCTTATGTTCCAGGCTGCAACTGATTAACAAGCAAACCAGCAGCTTTCAACACTTCATTCCCATTTGCAGTAAAAGCAGTGAGAGTTCTAATCATCATCTGCATTAGAGCGAGTTTCACTGTCAACCTCCACAAATAATGAACATCAGTTTCCATTTTTTATACTTTCTTAGTACAAAAAAGAAGCATAACAGGTAACGAGTGTGTGTGAGGATGATACAATCAACTTAACTTGAAATGTATGAAAGTGTGAAAAATATTGCAAAGGGAAAAAGATTCATCTGGCACAAAGCAGTCACCAATAACTGGAGAGAAACTGCCTTTAAAGATCTTAAAAGAAAAGCCAGAATATACCTCCAAATGCGCAAATTGAAGAGCACCAGAGTGATGAATGAAAACCTTTATTTACCACCAAGACTCTACCAAAGGTTCTTGGAAATGCTTCAGCACTGAAGTTGTAGAAGAAAATTATTCTACTGTTCATTTTGTAAAACGTGATCAGAACTTTTCTTATATAACCAAGGACTGAATGGCACATTCCAAGAGCACTTAAATGACATGGTTCATAAACTAAGTTTAAATACCGATTCTCTTCAAACACAGTATCTTAAAATATCCTATTACATTTCATGTTTGATCACATGCCATTAAATGCATGTTATAACTAGAAATTTAGCCAACGTCCACTGGAGTCATACAAAACAGTTAAGGCTGTGTTAGCATTTCCACCAAAAAGCCCTCTCCTAGGGGTTTGCAATCAGGCTATAAAGTCTTCCTTTGGCAAGATGGGAATGGTTTGGGAATGATTCTATTGAAAGATCTATGTGGATTTCTACAGTTAGCTTTATATAACTGAAGACAAATCTTTGTATTAACATCTCTCTTCCTCAGGAGATATTGAAGATTTAATTTTAATATTGAAACTACGCAAACGTTTTCCTCCACAGAATGGAAAGCTAGTACAGGTAAGAGTATCAGCAGAGCTGCTGCTATGTCAAACACTCCATCCTTAAGGTTGAATTTCATCAGGTCTAGAGGGTACATCAGCTACAAGGCCATTAGCTATTGCAGCTGTGTAAGGCCTACATTCTTCATGCTACCAGCATCACCATATTGCATGAAAACCAGCTTTGGCTGGTAGGGAAGAGAGAGAGGTCAGAGTCCTACATTTGTCTCCTAGCTTTGTACTGCTTCTTCAGCTCTGACAGACTTTGGAAAACATACCTTTCTGCTCACACCTAGTGGAATGAATGTGGAGTGATGAATCTCTATTAAATGCACAATGCGTTTTGACTTACTCACTTATTCATAATATGTGAGGGTGGTGTTGTTCAGGGAGCTCACTATCCTACACTGTCCTAAAGACCAAGAGTCATTCTTACTCCATCAGAAGGGCTATGCATGCACTGACTGTCTTGTGTACCTATCCTAGTTATAGGATATACTATAGGATATACTATATTTATCCTAGTTATATCCTATATATACTATAGGATATACTATATATATCCTAGTTATCCTGGAGCACAAGTGTTATGAGGAGCGGCTGAGGGAGCTGGGATTGTTCAGTCTGGAGAAGAGGAGGCTCAGGGGAGACATCACTGCACTCTACAACTTCCTGAAGGGAGGCTGTGATGTAAAAGGGTCTGGCCTCTTCTCCCAGGCAAATAGTAGGACCCGAGGAAACGGCCAGAAGTTGTACCAGAGGAGGTTTAGGTTGGACATTCGGAGAAACTTTTTCTCTCAGAGGGTGGTCAGGCACTGCAATGGCTGCCCAGGGAGGTGGTGGATTCGCCGTCCCTGGTGGTGTTCAAAAGGCGCCTGGATGAGGAGCTAAGAGATATGGTTTAGTGCTTGTGGTACTAATAGGAATGGGAGGGTGGTTGGACTAGATGATCTTGCAGGTCGTTTCCAACCTTGCGATTCTATGATTCTATGATTCTAGTTATCTAGGCAGCCAACACTTTCAAACCACTATGGGCCAAATGATGTGCCTTCATGTTACTACCAACAGTGCTGGAAATACTATAGTGTCAACAGCAGAGGTCTGGACAGACACGGCAAGAGTTTCTTTGGCAAGCCCTCACATTTCAGCAGTTCCTTGGTTGAGGACTGCCTTTCAAGAGTTTACATTTTAAAAAAAGGCCTTAAACCTGAATTTTCATGATTTTAACAGCACTTTCAGCCCTAGGCATTAGTTCAGATTTGTTTTGAAAACCCAAGCCCTCCCTCTGAGATCATCAGCATTCCAACATAAACCATAAGGTCTGATTTATAACTCTGTTTACCTTAGTCACCATTCTAAACAAGGAATCCTCATTAGGAAGACCTGATCTGTACAACACATACCCAGACAGAAAATGATTACAGGAACAATATTGCAATAGGAAGTACAAACCAATAGCTTGAGCTCTGCGATCCAGGCCTGTTGCCTGCTTGGCCACCTGGTTCAGGGCAGCTCATCCCTCTGAGAAGGATGCTGCATATACCTGGCAAACACATGGTTTCAAAAACTGGAAAAACACATAAAATCAATGCTTTAGGTTGTACACTCTCAATATACCTACAGTTTCAAAGTTGGATACCCTGAGAGAAAAAAACAGTGCACCCCACTGTTTTCATCAGCCCTTCCTGCATTATCAGCAAATTGGTGTTTTTATCAAGATTCATGGGTTTGTAGCAAGTAACGAAACAGACGAAGCAGTGTGATGAGCTTCTGTTATAGAAACTGTTTTTGTTTGTTTTTCCACAACCATTATTTTCCAATCTCTCAAAGCCACAGATGAAAGTCAACACATGGTGAATAATGGTCTTAGAAAGATTGTTGTCCCTCTATAAAAGTAGTTATATCTCACTGAAGAAATATCCATCTTAATTCACATCACAGATAACAGACAATCTAATATTGTTCAACAGCAACTTTAATCAGCTGAGATGCAGTACTGTTCTATTTGAGTTTCCATAACAACTTTTTCTGTTTTGCATGAAATATGACAAAAAGTTTTCTGTCTTTAAAAATGCTGGCACAAGAAAAGGGGGATTTTTCACCCCTCTCAGATTCTACAGTTCTGTCATAAATTCTAGTGGAAGTC